TTCACAGCTATATGTTCGCTTTGTAAGGACTCGTGGAAAGCATTCTCAAGACTCCTGTTGAGCCTAAGTGGTAGGCTCGCATGCTTTGGGATTCTATGCGGCAAAATTACATGCTTCGTTATTAAACTTGGGTTGATTTTAATTACCATAAATATGTTGATTATTTATGGTCACGCTACATGTATTAGTTGCATTTTAATATTATTTCTTATTATAACCATTGAATTGTAAATATATTTTAAAAGTTTTTTTTTTTTTTTTGTTCGAAGCGATAGGATATTATATAACCACTCAAAGGGATCAAAGATCGAATACAATGTACGGACAGACTTCGAATAAACAAAAATGAGAGGACTCGCTGAAAGCGGCCTAGAAACCGAGCTAGCCAAGCTAGAATAAAACAGACTCAAACATAATCGACACAAAACACTAGAAACGCTCCCCGAAGGAGAAAAGACACAAAACACTAGAATCTCTCCCCACGGGAGAATAGGTACAACCCCAAAGGGGTAATCAGAACAAAGGCCAACGACCCAGACCAAAAACACACGAACAAAAACAGAAAAACCAAACACAGAACACACAAACTAAGCTAACACAGACTCAATCAAACAGACTCAAAAACTATATATAATAAAATAGAAGTAGAAGAAGGCCCTTCCACAGCAAACGAGCTTACCCAGACAACAGAGAACTATCGAAATAAAAGTGTTCTTTTAGTACTCTTTCAAATTGCCCAAAAATCTGAGTGCAAAATGAACTTCAAATGGTGTAATCTAACTTGTTTCTCTGCATTTGTGCAATTTAATAAAAAAGAATGCACCTAAAAAGTTATATCGAATCAGAATCTTGTTTCTAAAAAAGGGATTTCTGATGACAAATTGGACATGATTTTCTTTTTTTCATGCAAAGAACCACCGTGGCCACAAAATTGAACTCAAAATTAGACATGGAGATAACTCTCTCTTTCTGTTGTTCATAGCTACAACTTGCGTGCACATACAAAATGTTCGGCATGGATGAATTTAGATAAACACAATATTTCTTCATATTTCTGAATGTACTATGCACAAACAAAACCAGGAATTACATTCTACGGTTTTCACAGGAAAAGAAATTCAAATATCACGAGTGTAATACTAGAAATTTCAACAGCATTGAACCAATTATGCAATAAGAAGTGTTTTTTGTTAAATATGAAATTAGGGAGCTACTCATCTCCTGCCTAAAATTTTTCGATTAGGTGTTGTTGAATGGGGAGAATCTAAGAGCAACTTGGAACTGCTCGAGGAATACTGCAAATCAGTTGTTCCTGGTGTGGAACGCGTAACAGGTCTGTGACCGAGCAGGGGTAACAACCTTGTCGCCTTAAGCTTTTTGCTGGACGTGCCTATGCCCAGAAGCTCATTCGGTCCAAATGGGACTGTCTTTTACCTGTCATTTTTTTTTTCTTCCTCAGGAGTTCCCATAGGAAGTTCTCAACTTTTACTTAATCTTCCTTAGTGCTCAAAGACTACAAATAAATTACAAAAAAAAGACAAAAAAATAAAGGAACAACTTCAGGTCCAGAAGACCATATGAAAATGAAGGTTGGTTGCAGAAAATACACTAAGATTTGTGGCATTACATAAACCTCATTTATCTTTCAAAAATGGATTGATTAACTCAGTATGTGTTTCTATTTTATAAATTTTGACCAACTTGGTTGGATATTTGTCAAGATTCAAAGCGAAATGTTATGGGCGTTTGTTGTAGTAAGTTGCTACTTAAAATGTTGGCAGATGCCTTTGTTTTTTTCTGTAAATATGATCAAACCTCGGTGATTTTTTTTAAATTATGGCTAACAATTATTAAGGGTCTGCACTTCTATAGATACACTTTCCAGCCAGATTATGAAACAACCAACAATGATGAAGTATGGTAAACATGACATTCATTGTTCATGTGATAATTACTACTTTGTGAAGGAAAAATAATCTTG